AATTAAAATAATTTTTGTTGAATTAAAATAAACAAATTAAAAAGAAAAAATATATACAGCATGGGTGCGAGCAGTATTTCTTTTTTAAAAAAAAATTATTTATTCATTAAATTTAGAGTGAGAGAAAGGAAAAGAGAGAGAGAGGTCAATTTATTATTCCACTTATTTATGCATTCATTGGTTGATTCTTGTATGTGCCCTACCTAGGGGATTGAACGTTCAACCTTGGCTTATTAGGAGGATGCTCTAACAAACTGAGCTACCCAGCAGCCACAGCGAGAAAAAAAAAAAAATTGGGAATGGTGGGAGGAAAGAATATATTTCCAACTCAAGTCATAAAGGGTGAATTCCCATAAAGAGTAATTAGCAATGTTAATTAAACTTTAAAAAACATCCATTTGACCCAACATTGCTACATGTAGCAAGCTAGCCTCACAGCAATATGTTGATAGGATAACATTGTTCATATTAGCAAATGACTGAAAAGCACAGAATGCCCATCAGGAGAGGACTAGTGAAATAAATAGATAATTATGCAATAAAATTTCCTGCTGCCATCAAACAGAATGAGGAATTTCTATATTGATAACATAAGAATATATATATATGCCTGATCTATACAGATTATCTCTAAAACAACTCATAAATAATATTAACAATGGATATTTCTGAGTAGGATATCTGGGTAGTTAGGACATGTGGTAGAAGGGAGACTTACTTTTCAGGGTGTACATTGTTTTGAGTAATTTGAATTACTGTAATAATACAAATACTTTTAATATCCTGTGTCTATTTTACTTGAAAATAAATAAACTCAATGTAGGAAAAGACTTAATAGCCTTCTGTAAAAATGAGTCTGAGATTTTCATTTAAGAAAAATATATTTAAATTGCTTTTTAAATATTAAGGTAATTATTTAGGTTTCATTTTCTGATATAAAACTATTAATTATGAAATTTACAAATTATAATTCTCAATTTTAACAGCTGCTGGAAACAAGTTAATTCTAGATTAACAAAATAAACATTGTGGTTTTCTCTCACTATTGAGATACACTGGCTAAGAAAATAGTGTTAACTTATTTCTAAGTATTGTTATTGAACATTATAGACAATCCTTTAATAGATTGTTTCATGGTGATTTATAGAACAAGCAAATAAGTTTTCTTACTTTTAAATAATTTAGTTACTAAAGACAGTTAAAATTGAAAATCTATTTTGAGAAATAAGGTTTGACAAATTGAATAACAGCAGGAAAAATTTACACTTGAATATATTTACATTACAATGGATTTTAATTTAGAAAGCAAGATACCAGGCCATAAAACCAGCCATCCAGTACAGCAGTCCCCTTATCCAGTTTTGCTTTCTGCAGTTTCAGCTACCCATAGTCAACTGTGATCCAAAAATTTTTAATAAAAAATTCCAGAAATAAACATTTTATGATTTTTCAGTTGCACACAGTTCCGAGTGGTGTGATTAAATCTCACCATCCTGCTCCTTCTTACCAGGATGTGAATCATGCCTTTGTCTAGGGTATCCATGCTGCGTACACTACCTACCTGTTAGTCACTTAGTAGCTGTCTGTTACTGATTGTCTTGATATTTCAGGGCTTGTGTACAAGTAACCCTTATTTTACTTAACTGCCCCAAAGCCATTCACATATTTTTTTTTATAGTATATTGTTATATTTTTTCTATTTTTAGTTATGTTTTTAATCTCGTATTATGCCTAATTTATAAATTATATATATATAGCCATTTTAGGCATTCACTTGGAGTCTTGAAACTCCCCCATGGATAAAGGGGAGCTACTGTATAAAAGTGAGGATATTTTTTAATGCTATATTGAAACCTAATAAAAAAGTTTTGTTAGATCATATTTGCTATATATTTATATTGTCAGAAAATAATATCTGATCTTAAATTATGTGTTAGCGGAGCAATAATTCCAACTGATATGAAAATTTATTTCTAATATAGCCAAGTAACACACCCAGAAAGACAAACAATATTACATGAAAAGGTACAACTATTTCTTTTATTATTCTGAATTAGTTACACTTGGAGAAATTATATGTATTTTATATTTGTAATGTCAAGTTTGTTAAACCAATCAGGTAGTATAAAAAGAAATAGCCAAATTAAAAAAAAAAAATCTATTTCTGGATTAGAAGGCATTCCTTTTGTCACTAAAATTAATACATTTTAAATAAACAATAATCCTACTTTGAAGATTATAAAATGCAGCCACAGAAATATATTTTGCCATGTACAGTAGATGTTTAAATAAATATAAAAATAAATTTTAATGAATTAAAATAGCTTCTAAACATTAATGAGGGGGCATATTTTTTATTAGGAGGAGAAAATAGATATTTTATTTAGGATATGTCAAAGTTATTTGTGTGTCTACCATTTAAAATTCAACTCTATAAAATATATTTTTTCTTACATGCATACAGTGCAGAGAAAAATAGCATAATTTAACTACTGAGAGGCTTTTAAAAAGACAATATTTTCATTGCTTTAAACTAGTAACTGCTAATTAAAAATAAAATTAAAATAACTGATACCAAATTAAATTTTTTCATAACATATTTAGTACCTCCCCCAAATAATTTACAAGTAGAATTACTGTTAATGTTTTAAGTCTGCTAAAATGCATATATATATATATTTATACATATGTATAAAATGCACAAGCATCATTTAACATGTATAAAATTTCTTTAAGTTACAATATATCATTTGTAAAATCTTCTAAAATGTATCAATTCAGTTAAAAAATTGAGTAGGGGCAAAGAGGTTGATTGGAGAGTAGGGTTAACAAGATAAAAGACAAAGTAATAGACAATCAAAAATGCACTGGGGGAGGGAAGTTATATATGTACATAAATAAATATTAGCTAAGTCACAATATAAAGGCTCCTCTCTGAATAGTACACCTAAAATATTTGTGCATTCAGAGATTAGATATTTGAACTGGTTGAATGCAACAATAATGTTTCATAGAAGAGATAACACATTACAGACTGAGAAAGAGTAAGATTTCAGTATATGGTAGAAGAAGAGAAGGAGACATTCTAAGTGGAATGATGGATAAGGAAGGCACAGTCGGTGAAAATCTAATTCTTGTTACAGGAAGGAAGACTAGGCAGCTTTGTTTGCTACTTCTAGCTGCATAAAGCAATTGAATAGTTAACCTCTCAGGTTACTCAATAATTTATAAACACTTTATTTTAGACCTTCTATAAAGAATTAAAACATTAAGTTACTATCAAGTTTTATATTCAAATTCTCAGTTAATTTAATAAAGAATAGTTCAGTTTCCAGAGATGAGAGCATTGTATTTTATTATTTTTATTTGCATTAATATACTTCTCAAAACTAGAGACTCATCATATTAACTGGTGACTGAATATTGTAATAAATCAAAAGCAAAAATTTATTTGTATAACTAAAGAACCAGTGGAAATTCTAGAATGAATTTAAAAATCAACTATACTGCATTAGACAAGAGTTTTTAACATTATTTACTATTAAAATTATGGAAGAATTGGTTCTTAGAATGCATCACTGTGCTTAACTGTGTAAAAGCAAAGGTTAATTCAAAGTTTCTAAAATAAAATTGTGTTGTCCTACTTCTATATCAGAACCTCTTTTTAATTCAGAGAATTAAGCAAATTATAAAGCAAATAAGCATTTTTTTTCATTATTTTCTTACCAAAGAGTAATCCAAAGAAATTACTTTCACTTTAGGAAAACAGAATTACAAATGGTTTGTCATCGATGACGATCTACATTTAATCCCCAGAAATAACAATAAATATGTCAATACCTTACCATATTGCTGAATAATTTAATAGAACATTAGGCAGATAAACTGCCCTTTCTCAGATGACTATTCAATCCCTTCTTATTTTTTTAAAAAAACAAACCAATGTTAACATTATTACTTTATCAATGTACTTGTTCTGGAATAAAAATCCCTACTTTTTTTCTTACCAGCCAGCTTCAAATGAAGCATTTAGTAATATATTGGTGAAGGAAATGATAACATAGATGTTTCCCCAAAAGGAAATTCTAAGTATTTTCCCAAGATTCGTGAAAAGTCTGGGGGATGGAACAATGAAAAAAAATAGATTAAGAAACTGAATTAAAACATGCACTGTAGTAAGCATAAAAATAAAAGGGAAGAAATGCGAAATTCTGGGAATCTTAACCTATATTCCTATCTTAATTATTCCTATATAAGTAAAATAGTTCTACTTGCATGTGCATGGGAGAGGAGTCAACTAAAGAAAATATAAACTGTGGCAGTATTCATTTAACAATACAGTACAATTGTTTCAATATGACTTATTGTGTGTTCACTGGACAGAAGCAAGGAAGTGAGAGAAGAAAGCAGACCGTTGGTCTAATCAGAAGAGTGGCATTGCCAGCTGGAGAAAGCACAGATGTGTCTGTTGCTAAGTTCGGGGTTCTCGAGAAAGACAGCAGCTGCGTGCAGCATTTGGCCCTTCCTCACCCACACCCCCATCTGATCACCGCTGCTCTTTGGACAGGTCCCACCAGCAGCCCTTCTCGCCTCCTGCTGTTTAGGTCTAGAAAGGTAGAGGGTTCCACAAGTGACAAAGATAATGTATATTCTAAGTATCAATAAGATGAACCAAGATTTGAATTAATACAGTAACAATAGAGTAGCTGTCACGTACTTGAGAGATGTAAAAATTTCAGTAATACAGCACTGAAAAAATACATGATAGCATTTTACCTCTCCATGTGTATAGCTTGAATATATTGACTGTCTAGTATGAAGAACTAGTTTTAAGTCTGTATAACTCACTTCTCATAGAAGTGATGGGAGAGGATAACTCCCATCCAATTATTTCTCTTCGACAACTGCAAGCTGTTTGTGCGGTAACCCTAATAAACAGCTCCTCATCTGAACTTGCAAAAATCGGGTCACCTTGGATACCGTAAATTAACAACAAACTTACACATTTTTCTAGCTTTTATTAACTACTGAATATTTTACCATGATTTACATTTTCTTCAGAATGTAAAATTTAAAATAAAGTTTCCTATTAAATTAAACAAGCACGAACAACACTAAAGTAGGTCAGAAAGAAGCCATTCAAATCACGTTGACAACAGCACCACGTCCCCTGCAGTTGTTTCTGAGTCCTGACTGTGGTTGGAGCTGATGCCGGTGTCCGAATCTGTGTCATTTGTGTATGTGTTCAATGGCCTTTGAGTAGAGGGAGGAACCTCCCCGCTGCCGTAGGAGACCTCAGCCTCCTTCCCCCTGTTTTCCTTGAGCTGGCATCCATCCTTGTTGCTAATATGAAGGGAACTGAACTCCTTGGCCAGGAGCTCATATTCTTTTGCTTTCATTTGAAGCAATGAGTCACTGTATTTAATCTCTTTCTGGATGCCGCTCAAGTGAGAGTGGATTTTCAAACCAGCTTTCATGCTTTTCTCCAAATCACATTTAACACTTTCTAAATTGAGGCTTTCAAGTTCACTGGCAGCTGCCCCTTCTGCATCTTCATGTATCTCAGTGCAAACACTTCTTACCTCTTTCTCTATTTCGGCCGAGAGCTTATCGATGAGCATCCGGTAATAGAGGAGTCGTTCTTCCAGCTGCTGGACTCCGTCGCTTTTACTCAGGTCCTCCAGAATCTGGCTCTCATCATACTGCAGGTCTAGCTTTTGCTCAGCTTCACTGAAACTGGGCATTAAATACGCATCCTGAACATAATTTTCTCCATCGTTTTCCACCCTGTCAAGGTGGAACTTAGCTTCACACTTTTCAATTTCCAGATCCAGCTCTTTCATTCTCTTGACTTGCTGATGAATAGTGTGGTCCTGGGAAATAATCAGGTGAACTAAGGTCTCCATACTATCTCGATCATGGGAAGCTGTGTCTTGCTTAATTTTAGCCAGTTTCCGGAAGGTTTTTCTGACTATTCTTTTCTGCTTATCTGGTGGTAATGTCTTCATGTAGTTTGCTGGGCTGAGCTCCCACAGTTTTTCTGTGTTTTGGACTAATTTGGCTTCAGCCGTCCGCCACAAGGGAACTGGGAGAAAAGCATCTGCTTTCACCAAAACAAATTGCATATTGGGCTGCTCATCCCCCCAGGCTTTCCAGAGCTTCAGGATCCTGGTTAGCGGAGGGAGAGCCCGTTCTGAGCCTCTCCACTTTTCTATGATGCAGTAATCGCTGGGCTTCCCCAGAAGAAATCGTTTCTCTCCAAAGGTCGTCTCGTGTTCCTCAAGCAAAGCCAGGATGACATCAGCCGAGGTGGTACGTTTAGTTAAACCACAGACGATCTTCTCTTCTTGGCAAACCCAAACCACAATTTCCTTCTCTTCTGAATCCATGTCTTTAGTCGAAGATCTGAAAGAAAAACGAAGCACATTATACTCCTGTCATCACCTGTGTAAACTTAGAAAGATGGTTTAACTTTAATACCCTTAAGAAGAGATGCATTTTGAGGTTGAGGCTACCTATGAATCAGAAGTTTTATTGCAAGAAAACAAAAATCATAAAACCATGGAAAATATCTTAATTTCCTTTTTTCTTATCAGTCTCAGAAAGAGTAAATTCTTATCAAAGACAACGAAGGCTATTTTATTTTGTCGAAGTCAACCACTAAATTAAAACTGCTAGAGTGAAGACAATTATCAAAGCGGAGGTGAATCATAGGAGATAGAATGAGACTAGTTTTTCTGACACCTTAGGACTAGGTTGAAATGGTGAAATGATAGTGGAATCATAGAGTTGGAAATAGTCCATTTTTGAAAATTGTCATTCTTTCATTCAACAGATGTTTACTGTTTGCCAACCATGCACCGGACATGTCTAAAGATGCTAAAGATGCCCTGGCCGGTTTGGCTTAATGGTTTGAGCATCGGCCCGCGGACCAGAGAGGCCTGGGTTCGGTTCCTGCTAGGGGCACATACCTCGTTTGCAGTTTGTCCCCGGCCCCAGTTGGGGTTGTGTGGGTGGCGGCAACCAGTCGACGTGTCTCTCTTACATCGATGTTTCTCTCTCTCTCTCTTTCCCCTCTCTCCCTCCCATACTATATGTCCTCAGGTAAGGATAAAAAAAAAAAAATTAAAGATGCTAAAGATACTGTAATAAACAAAGGAATGAGACTACAGACACACATGTGTAATTACTATTAAATCAGGCAGTAGTAAATGCTAGAAAAACATTAAATGGATAAAGGGACACGGAATGACTTGGAAGAAGAAGTCTATCTTATTCAGAGTGTTTAAGAAAGACTTCTCTAAGAAGGGGACATTCGAATGGGAACATAAGTTATGAGGAGGCAATCAGTGGCCTAAGGAAAGAATCCCCAAAAGAGCGAACAGACGTGCGAAGGTCGTGAAGTATGTTCAAGGGAAGGAAAAAAGGTGAATGTAGATGGAGGCCGAGGACAGTGGAGTTGGGGGTCGTTGCTGGTGGGGAGGGAGGCCAAATGACAGGATGAGTTCTAGCAGAGAGGCATAGCCTCACAGGCCATGATGCAGTACTTGGATTTTGTTTCAGTTGTAGCGAGAAGCCATGGGAAAGTTTTAAGCAGAGGAGGGATATGATCTAATTTATGCTTTAAGCATATCTGGTTTCTGTTTATGGAATGGACTGTAAAAAGGGCAAACCAGTAAAGGCAGGAAAGCTTGGTTGAAAGCCTAGTGGAGAGGTCTAAGGAAGAGATAGGATCGCCTGGACTAAAGCTCTAGCAGTCGAGATATGAGGAAGTGATTCGAGTTGGGACATATGTATCAAGTAAAGACTTGATAGTTATTTCCTTTATGGTCTAGAGGAACACAGGGGTAAAAAAAGACACAGGTAGTGAAAGAAGCAAGAAAGGTGCTTGATTTCTAGGCTATACTTTTCGGAAAATTATAATAATTACATTTCTATCATGACTATAAATAAAATTGACTGTTCCATAATATCTCTTTGCAACAATGTTAAAAAAAAACAAATGATATGAAATGAATTATAATCCATATGGTCTGTGGAGACAAGATTTTTGAGCAGTAATTAGCTTGCTGTGAAAGTTAGCCACACCCCTTTATGTTTGTAGCATGACTCCAGGAAGCTCATACCAAAAAATTTCCCTGGCTTCTAGAATCATTTAACACCTAGAATTTAGTTTATGGTGTTTATGTTTCAGTGGTTGAGCGTCGACCCATGCACCAAGAGGTCGCTGGTTTGATACCCGGTCAGGACACATGCCCAGGGTGTGGGCTGGATCCTCAGTGCGGGGCATGCAGGAGGCAGCCAATCGATGTTCTCTCTCATCAATGTTTTTAATCTCTCTCTCCCTCTCCCTTTCTCTCTCTCTAAAAATAAAAAATAAAAATTAAAGAAATCACTGATTATTATACTTTAATGACTCTCCTGAGACCATAAGGTGCCTACTAAAGAACAAACCAGTGACACCAAATAACATAGATTAGATCTAGTTCTTAACGAGTACCTGATAAAATTGAAATATTCAGCTGTGTTAATAAAATTTTATAAATGATCATTCAAAAAGTCATTCTGAGTTGTGACTGTTCTCTTACAAAATATTTTACATTTAATGACTCACTATTGAATAATGTGATATCTGATATTTATGACACATAATTTAATAATTCTAAGCATCAAAAAGGTAGGTTAGAAATTAAGATAAGGTTATTTTTATATTTCAATTAGTAGAAAAATAATATATAAATACACTTTAAACAAAAACAAATATGTTCTCCAAGTGACTAACACTAACTACTATCTGTCTTAAGGTGATACAGGACAAGTTACCTTTAAATTAATCCTTACCTTGATATGTTTTAATTATGTATGTAAAATTTTCAAATATATCAAACTTTTTTTTTTTTTTTTTATCCTCACCCGAGGACATTCTTCCATTTTTTGTTCAAGTAGAGTGGGAGGGAGAGAGAGGAACAGAGAGAGAGAGAGAAACATCAATGTGAAAGGAACACATCGAGTGGCTGCCACCCGCACAACCGACCAGGGCCGGGGACAAACTGCAACCTAGGTACGCGCCCTTAGCAGGAACCAAACCCGGGTCTCTCAGGACCGCAGGCCGATGCTCTAACCGCTGAACCAAACCGGCCAGGGCTCAAACTTTTTTTTACACTGTGTGGTCAATGCATATACTCTATGTTAAATTACAACTAATTTCCATATGAATTGTTTATAAATAATGGTAAAAATAAAAAAATAGAGTAATTGTCATAATTATTAATCTAATGAGATAATAGCAATAGCTATGATGTTATAACTAAGGACAACTTTATTTTACACTATTTTTTAGTTTTTAGGGTCTAACTCTAAAAGAAAACCTATTAATAAAATCAGCAGCATCCCTGGCCCTGGAGTATCGTCCCCTACACCAAAAGGTGGTGGATTTGATTCTCGGTCAGGGCACATGCCCAGGTTGTGGGTTTGATTCCTGGTCAGGGCACATACAGGAGGTAACCAATCGATGCTTCTCTCATCACATCTCTCTCTCTCTTCTTCTGTCTCTCTCAAAAAAAGCAGCAATAAATATTATAATCAATTATAATATTTAACATATGCCAAGCACTGTTCAAAGGTCTTACATATATTAGTGATTTAATCCTCATGATTCTGTAAGGTAGGTAATAATATTATTTTACAGATAAAGAAACTGACACACAGGAGATTTTAGTGACTGTCCCAAGGTCACACAGTTCGTGGTGCAGTGAGGATTTAAATCTAAGCAAGAACACTGACTCCAGAGTGCAGTTCTAACCATTACACTGTAAGAACAAGTTTATAAGTTTGGTGATTTAGACATGCAGATTAAATTGAAAAAAAAAATCATGAAATAAACTATATGTTTAGGAGAAACTTTGTCATATAAATTAGCCTTTGAATACAATGGAACTGTAGTGCCTCATTGGAGCACTCGACTGGTCAAGGAAGAACATTTCCCAATGGGCAACCTTGGGAAAAAAGTGTGTGAAAAGCTGTTACCTTCTGTGCCTTTTTTCTTATTAATATTAGTCCTACCCTGATGTAGTAAAAGGGACTTCTGACCGGCCTGGGTGCCTCCTGGAGCTGACACACTCTCATATATAAAGGCCATTATTATTGTCTCCTTAGAGTTATTCCTCTGTCCTGTTCCAATTCCTGGCTGGGAAACCTCAGTTCTGGGTCTGTAGCTAAGGATGATACATGACCTATAAACTCTTCAAGCCTACACTGTATCTGCGAAGACTGGGAAGCAGCGATCAAGGGATTGTTTGGAATAGCAGAATAATAAAAAACATTTATAAGACAACTCTCCAACACTTTCATGACCCCTGCTCCAGTGGAAATTCTTCTTGTCTGGAAGGCTCAAGTTCTTTTTTTATGACTTTCCCTAGAGATCTGCTTATTTTCAGCTTATGTGGATAAGGTAACACTAATGTTCATTATTATTCACAATCAAGATATTTTTATTGCCATATAACATGAGAAAGTTAATTCCTTTATTAATAACCTCACAGTCTGGTTCCAAATCTTTTAAGTCTGCCCTAAATCTCCATGTATTTTCTTGGGTCAGTTATTTCTTTATATTTTGTGGAATTTTTACAACCATCTTTCAAATGAGGAAAATTTCAAAAATTCTGCTACTTGACTAAACATATTTGAAAGTCAGGACTGTTCATTACTTGATTTGGGCAATAATCTTTCATACCTAGTATAAGCTTCATCATTTTTAAATTCTGCTTTGTTAACAGGCTTAGGATTTTGAAAACTATATTTATTTTATAGCATGTCTCTGATTGAGTTTCTATTCATTCATTTGACAAATATTTGCTGAGCACTTCCTGTGTGTCTGGCACTGTCACGGAAATGTGTATTGTATGAAGACGTATGATTTATAAACATTGTTCCTGGCCTATTGTGGGAAGGAGTGCTAGAACTGGACAAGGAACACATGAGTGTCGACTCCAGTGCTAAGTTTCTTATTCCATCAATGCTTCCCAGAAGTTAGCCTGATGACTCTCAGCATCATATCATTAAAAGAAAAAGAACATTCAAATAAAAAACTATAGAAAGAGCCCTGCCTGGTTTGGCTCAGCGGTTCAAGCGTCAACTGGCAGACCAATGAGTCATGGGTTCGATTCCAGCCAAAGATATGTACCTCCGTTGTGGTTCATCCCCGGCCCTGGTTGGGTTGGGCCAGAAGCAACCAGTCTATGTGTCCCTTTCACGTCAATGTTTCTCTCTCCCTCCCTCCCACTCTATCTGAAGATAAATAGAAAAATATTCTCCGGTGAGGGTTAAAAAAAATTTAAGAAATACAAATATAGAAACAATGTGGAAAAAGATTCAGCAAAATTAAACCAATTTAGCAATCTAATTAA